TAGTACTGAGCTCACAAACACCACGTCTGCAGTGGGAGAGCAGGTGAATTATGGCCTGTCTGTGAAGTGAAGTGGGCAGATTGATGTGTGCTGATGGGAAATTCTCTCCACAATGCGCAGCTACACTCAGAACAGTGTGCAGTCCTCTTGGGTCACAAAAGGGGTGGAATAGAGCGATGTCATGGAGTCTGCCTGGCTCTCAGCTTACTTCTGAGGTCAGAGGTCAGAGGGTGGGCATTAGAGACGTCTCAGTTGTTGTGCCATGTTATTCTCTAAATGATCTTAAATGAAATTCTCTTCTGTGTCTGAGAATATGCTCAAGTTACTTATTTTCACATTTTATTTCAATATATATTTCAATAAATAAAAATAAATATTTATTTTGTGTGCATGGCAGGGTTGGGGAGCCTGCTGTGGTGCACCTGAGGGTCAGAGGAGCTGGTTTTCCTCTTCTACCATGTGGGTTCCAGGGATTGAACACAGGTTGTCAGGCTTCGTGGCAAGCGCTGAGCCAGCTTTCCAGATCAGAAATTTTACTTTTCATAAAATTTAAAAAGTGTTCTAAGTGGTACACACCTTGATCCTAGTATTTGGGAGGCAGAGGCAGGTAAATCTCCGAGCTCCAGGCCACCCAAGGCTACATAGTGAGACCCTGTCTGAAAACAACCACAAAACCAAAACATGTTCTAAGCATTCTCATGCTCTTGTGTCTGGTCACCTAGTTCTAGATTGGGGCTGAATGAGAAGAACTTAATTTAGGATGGTAGAGGGAAAAAAAAAGAAAACAAAGTAACATAATAAAAATTCTGTCTGTCTCATCTAGGCTCATGGATTTGAGATTTTGTGCTCCAAATGTAGCCCACATTTTTCTGACTCCAAGAAATCCCTTGTGACTGTTTCACCGCTCTGGGCCAGCTTCCTTGAAAGTCTGAAAAGGAATGATTACTTTAAGGTGAGACTTGTGCTTATTTCTTCTCATGAGTGAGCGTGTGTGTGTGTGTGTGTGTGTGTGTGTGTGTTCTCATGTATGGAGGCCAGACGTGGGTGGAAGATGTCTTCTCATTGAACTTACCAAATGGCTGCACTGGCTGCCCAGGGAGCGTCCAGAATTTTCCAGCTCTCCCTTCCAGCTCTGGGCTTCCAGGTGTGTACTATCACTCCTATATTGTTTGTTTGTTTGTTTGTTTGTTTGTTTGATGTAGGTTCTGGAGATTCAAACACAAGTCTTTATGCTTGCACAGAAAGGCCTTTATCCACTGCCATCTCCCCAGCCTCTGTAGTGTTTAATTTTAAAAACTACAACTCACAGAAAATCACATCATGTCTTGTTTAAAAGTAAAATATAATTATAGAAGCTCAAATAGAAGGGCACTTCAATGATATTCAGGCACGGGAAGCAAGCAATGAGATAGTATTTATTGAATATTTATGATACTAGAGGATTATTTTTAAATTTTTAAACTATTTTTAAATTATTTTTAATTATTTGAGACAAGGTCTCTTCTGTAATCCTGGCTGTCTGGGAGCTTATCATATAGACCAGTTTGGCTTCAAACTCAAAAAGATCCTCCTGCTTCTGCCTCCCAAATGCTGAGAGGCTACCACACCCAGTTTTATTTTTTAAAATCTTTAAAATTGAATTGTTTTATTTAGTTGAGGGGCTGTGTATATGCTACAGCATGTGGAGGCCAGAGGACAGCTTGTGAGAGTCAGTTTTCCGTATGGGTTCTCAGGGTTGAACTCAGGTCATCAGGTTTGGCAGCAGGTGCTTTACCTGCTGAACTATCTCACCAGCCTAATATTAGAGAATTCTAATTTTATATTTGTCAAGTGATAAAATTTATGACTTCTATCTGATGAACAACTTGTAAAAATTGAAAAAGCAACATGAAGCTACTATTCAAGAACATTAGCAAAGATAGTGATATTAAAAAACTACAAACCACAAATGGTCTACAGAGAGAACGAGAGACTGTGGGGTGCTCATCTCTAAGTGGGGCATCTACTTCACACATAGCTCAAGGCTCAGGGATCATCTCAAAAGACTGTAAGAACCGGAGACAGGAGAGTACAGCAAAACAATGTGTTCAGACAAAGCAGGCAGGCGCACATTTGAACCCACAGCAGCTGTGACAGCATGCACAAGACCTGCACAAGATCAAACCAGACAGAACCCCAGCGTGGAAGAGGGAAGTGGTCACAAAGTCCTACCCTCACTGAGGACAGTTGATGGCTGCTGGCAGAGGGAGAGCTGGCTTTCTTGAAGGTTCTGCCCCTGAGAGGCTACTCACAATCAACACATGGCCCTACACCCATCACATGCTAGCATGAATTAGACTCAGTGGGTTTAAACACAAACAGATAGGAAGTTGGGAAGGAATAATGGTAGAAGACAGAGAGGAGCTGAAGGAGCGTGAGAGGGTGGACTTGATACAACATGTCATATGCATGTATGAAATTCTCAAGCAATTAAAAATTACAAGGCAGGTGTGGTGACACATGCCTCTAATTCCAGCACTCAGGAGACAGAGACATAGGAATCAATGCCAGTTCAAGGCCAGCCTGGTCTACATTGTAAGTTCCAGGCAGCCAAAGCTACTTAGCAAGATCCTAACCCAAACAAACAAAGTAAAGCAAAAAGGAGGAAGAAAGAAAAATCACAAAAAGACGAGTAGTAAATTTCTCAGAAAATAATTATCTTCAAAACTGAGTGTGGTGGCTCATGCCTCCAATCCTAGCACGTGGGAAGTGGAGACAGGGCAATCAGAGTTCAAAGTCATGTGCATCCTCTTGAGTTCCAGGCCAGCCTTATCTCAGAGAACGAATGTGAACAACAGTAAGCCCACACTCACAGGTGGCAGATATAAGCGTGCGAGCACAGTAGTGTAGGTAAGTTAAAGTGAATGCTCCTGTACACAGATGCTGTCGTCATCGACAGACCTTTAAACAACAGCGATTGGAGAGTGTGGTAGAGTGAGGATGACCAAACTGTATTAGATGTATGTATGAAAATGTCATGAAACACATCGCTACTTATAATTAACATATCTAGTGAAACGCTCAAACACAACCAAATTCAATCCAGCTGTGGTAGCATACACACTCAATCCCAGTTAACTAGAGGTTTAAATTGGAAGTTCTAAGCTCAAGGCCTGATTGAGTAGCTGTTTGAGCTACTTATAAGCCCTACTTTCAATACAGTAGTAAAATTGAGCTGAGAATGTCACCCAGAGTGGAGCACTTACATGATTTATGCAGGACTCAGGGGTTAAACCCTAGAAACAGAGAGAAAGAACATTTGAGAATGTGTTCCAGAAACTCTGGGAACTTCCACTCAGAACCTTCATTTCGGATGATCTTTTATGAGAAACATCCATAGTGTCGGAAGCCTGTAGGAATAGTATGATTCTAATGATTGTGCGGCAGTATGAAACAGCGTGGGAGAGTGTGGTATGTTTCTAAGGAGTAAAGTAGTAGGTGTGACGCTACTGTGAAAATGGTGTAGACAGCAGGAGGAAGACTATGGTGGGAATTATGTGACTTTTGGTTCTGTTTGGCAAACTTTCTATGTCTTGTTTTAGAAGTTAGTTACTAATTAGTCAATTGTAAATAAATAAATTGGTAGAAAATCCTCCAGACTAGAAAAGGTTTCTGATTGGTAAAATGTAAAGTATTGGAGCATAGCCTTTAATCCCACCAAATGCATTCAGACCTCTGACTCTGTAGCTAACCTGTTCTACATAGTGGATTCCAGGCGACCAGGGCTACATAGTGAGACCTTGTCTCAAACAAAACAAAACCTAAGACTGCATCCAGCCTAGCACCTTACTTGCTTGGAAGAAATTGGAGTCCACACATATAAATTAATGACAAAACATGTGAGGCCTGGGACCTCTGAGTTCCTGAGTGTCACATGCTGCATTTTTCAACATCACTAGCAGGTGTGCCATTTAATGATGTAACATATAAGTACTGTTCTAATGTACAGTATTGTGTTTTCAAGGGACTACTGGAAGGTTCTGCTCGGTACCAGGAGAGACTCGAAATGGCAAAGAACTATTTCCAGCTCTCCATACACCGGCCAGAAAGGTGAGTTATAGCCAGGACCCACCACAGAGTAAGACAGGCTGGCGGCTGGGTAGTTCTTTCTAAATAACATATTTTAAAAACCTATTTATCATGGTTGTATGTATGTATAAGATGTGTATGAATGCAGACACAAGCATGCCGTGGTTGTGTGTGTGTGCGTGTGTATGTAAAAGAGGACAACTTTCAAAGATTCAAACTTTGAGAAATTGTTCTCGGTGGATTCTGGAGATCAGACTCACGTCACCAGGCTTCCAGAGGCATCTTGCCTGCCGTAAGTAAGACCTTTGTTGTTGTTACAAAAGCATAGATACTCTAGTACAGATAGAGAAGGATGTGAGAAGGAAAGTATTTATCCCAAAGTTGACCACTATTATTTTGATTTATTTCCTTCTAGAGGTTATAGATTTTTATTCCTGTACTAATTTTACTTATTTATTTTTCTGAGTACTTTTTTCTTGTTGTTTTTTTGTTTTTCAAGACAAGGTTTCTCTGTGTAGCCCTAGCTGTCCTGGAACCTGCTCTGTAGACCAGGGTGGCCTCGAACTCAGAGATCTACTTGCCTCTGTCTCCTGCTGGAACTAAAGGTGTGTGCTATCATTGCCTGAGTACAGTTCCTTTTTAAAATTACATATATAAATGAAATCTGCCTGTATGTATATCTGTGTACCATGCATGCCTGGCTCCCTAAGGAAGCCAAAAGAGGGTGTCAGATCCCCTGGAGCTGGGTTATAGACAGTTGAAAGCTGCCATGATGGTGCTGGTACTTGAACCCAGTTCCTTTGGAAAAGCAACCAGTACTCTTAACCTCTGAGTCATCTCTACAGTTCTTTATATTTGAGGAAATGGAGTACCATAGGGCACACAACTGTTTTTGCTACTGAGGAAAATATACAAGCTGCTTTAAACATCTAATATTTTAAGCTAGGTGTGATGGTTCACTGGTGTAATCCTAGCACTCAGGAAGCTAATGGAGTAGGGTCTCTATGAGTTTGAGGCTAGCTATATAGTTTCTAGGCCAACCTGGCTCTTAAAGAGAAACCTTGACTCAAGAAACAAAACAACCAGAGTTTGAAAGTTTCAAGGGAGACTCCCATTTCTCAGCTAATCATTTTCAGCAGTTTCATTCTGATTTGCTTTGGTTTGGCCTTTTGATATTTGAGTCAGAGTTTCACTGTGTAGCCTAGGCTGGCCTCATATTCTTGTTTCTTTTGCCTCCTCCTCCCAAGTTCTGGAATTAAGGACATGAGCTACCATACCTGGCCCTTTAAACTGTTATGAACCAAACTCTTCCTCCAAATCTGTACTTGAATCCCAGTGCTTAAACATCTTCTTTCATTTATTTAAATTTATTTCATTTCATGTCTATGAGTTTTTACCCACCTACATGTTTGTGTTCCATGTTTGTTCCTGATGCCTTCAGAGAACAGTAGAGAGCATTAGATCCCTGGGACTGGAGTTACTAATGATTGTGAGCTGTCACATGAGTGCAGGGAAACAAATCTGGAAGCTCTGCAAGAGTTAAGTGTTCTTAACCTCTGAGCAATCTCTCCAGTTTTTAGAGCCTTTTAATAATGGGGTTCATGACTTTTTTGTCTCTGTTTTGAGACAGGGTCTTGTATAGCCAGAGCTTACTTTGAATTTACTGTGTAGCTGAGGTTAACCGTGAACTCTTGATCTCCTACCTCTACCTCCCAAGGCAAATGCTACCCTGTGGGCTAATCTCATAATCTTTTACTAGGACTCTCATCCTCATTGTCCGTGGGTCCAGTCTGTAGCTCTGGTTATTATTCTCCCTGTCCTGCACACCCCTTGCTGTCCTGCCACAGCCTAGGTCCTAATTTCTTCAACTGTATCCATATGTAAACCTGGTTCTCAGCCTCTAGTGATTCTTCTCTTTCAGTTCAGCCATTAGAGCCAGGAAAATATCTCTCTGATCTTGCTGTTCTCACATCTCTTAAAGTTAATTGGCAACTATAATAATGAAAATTTACAAGTGCTAGAAGTATTCATCTAAAATATGAATTGCAGTGTATTTTTTTCAGACTTATTTTTAAGTGACAGATAAAATGGCGCCTGTGTTTTATTTACACTGTGGTATTTTAAAGTGTGTGTCCACTGCAGAATGCTTAAGTCTAAGTAACATAAATAGTACCTCATATACTTGATAATGTACTTAAAACCACAGCATGAATTGTGAATGTTCTGGGTGCATGTGTGCCAGCCACAGCATATTTGTTGAGGTTAAAGGACACCCTGCAGGAGTCAGTTTTCTCCTTCCACTGTGGGTCCCAAGTATCAAACATAGGTCATCACTGAGCCATGTTGCAGGCTCTGTCTATTCTTAAAAAAACAACAAACAAACAAACAAACAAACAAAAAACTTGTCCATACCCCAGTAAAAGTAATTAATTGCCTTCTTCCATATCTCTTTAGTATTGCTGTTCTCAAATGACAGTATTTTGCCATTCTTATTAAAAAAATTTTTTTAGGGTTTGTTATGTTAGTTAATTTCCAGTATCTTTCTTTTTTTTTTAAGCCCAGGCTGGCCTCAAACCTGCTGTATATTTGAGACTGGATTGGAAGTCCTGATCCTCCTGCCTCTGCCTCTCAAGCACTATGGTTACAACATGCACTATTACATCCACCTGTGTTTTTCCATTTATGATTTCTTTTCTTGTCCAGTAATGTTTGCATGACATGGGGCAGGGATAATTTACTCATGTGATTTATCGAAGTACCCAGCTGTTAATGAGTTTGCTTCATCTAAATGGCTGAGATGGTTCCATCGGTGTGGATATTGAGTCATGTCACCATCATAAGAAATGCTGGTGTCTTTCATTTGTTATAGTTCACTTGCTATGAGCCCAGGTGAAGAGATCTTAACCGTGTTACAGACACTGCCATTTGACGTCGACGAGCTCAAGACAGAAGAAGCTGACCTTCTTCCTGAGGATGGTGAGCCAGGGCCGGAGCGTATCGGGACGGTCAGAACTGAGAGGCCTTTCCAGGAGGGCCTCTCCTGTGACACGCATACCTGCTTTCTTTCTCAGATGACCAGTGGTTAGACCTCTCACCAGACCAGCTGGACCAGCTGCTGCAAGATGCTGCTGGCAGAAAAGAATCTCAGCCCAGTCCCCATAAGGAGGAGCAGCAGAACTATGATGTGGTGAAGGTCTCAGACAGCATGAAGGCCTTCATCTCCAAAGTGTCAACCCACAAGGGGGCAGAACTGCCCAGGTGAGTGCACTGGAGCACTTAGTTATTCCAGAGGTCGAAGTCGTTGTTTATGGAAAGTATCATGTCCACTTTGACTTTCTTCTGTCTTGTTTCGATATTCCTTATTTCTTATCCGAGGTGAGAGAGATTTCAAGTAGCCTTTGTAATTCCTCAAGTAAGGCAGAAAACTCGAAGGATTTAAAAGGCAGCACCAGAACCCTGGCACTTTAACTTCACTCTATTTTGTATGTTAGTTACTTGGGTTTGGTTTTGTTTTTGTGGGTTTTTTTTTGTTTTTGTTTGTTTTTTGTTTTAGATAGGTCTCTTTATATAGCCCTGGCTGTCCTGGAACTCACTATATGGACCAGGCTAGCCTTGAAATTACAACTATTCACCTGCCTCTGCCTCCAGAGTATTGGTATTTTTAAAGTTGTGGGCTCCCTTTTCCAGCTTCTTTAGACTCTAATTTAGACTCTCTAGCATGCAGCTCCCAATAAACTCAAGCTTCTAATCTCCTACCATACAAGCAGATTGGAGTCTTGAAACTCAAAGAGAGGGATTTAAGGAACCTATCAGAGGCAGAAGTCATCACAGAGCTTGTTTGTGGCAACTAACTAGGGAAAAGAGTAGAAAGATTGTTACCCACACAGCAAATCTCTCTCTTCTTTACTTTTTTGGTGGTAATGGGATTGACCAGAGGCTATGCACACTAACAAGTGCATCCTGGTGAGCTCCTTCCTCAGCCCAGTGAACCTCGGTTAGTGTGGGTATCCTGAACTGTAAGAAAAGATACAAGTCTATGCTCATTATTTATTGTTAAGAAAGAAAGAATAGGGGGCTGAAGAGATGGCTCAGTGGTTAAGAGCACTGACTGCTCTGCCAGAGGTGCTGAGTTCAATTCCCAGGAACCACATGGTGGCTCACAACCATCTGTAATGAGATCTGATGCCCTCTTCTGGTGTGTGTGAAGACAGCTACAGTGTACTCATATAAATAAATAGATAAATAAATAAATAAACAAACAAATCTTTTTTAAAAAGATTACTTTCAAAGAAAGAAAGAAGAAGGGATGGTGCAATTTTATTAATTTGATAAGCTTTGAATTTTGTTATTGTTATTTTCTTGTGTTAAACTCACATGAAATCGTGACCTTCCTGGACTATACTTTCCAAACGCTAGGCTTAAAGGCGTAACTTGGAGTCCTATAAGAATAAGTGTTAAGTAAATGATCTCAGATAAATTATTTCTCTTACTGTGTATCTTGTAGGCAGTAGAGAACAGATAGGCCACCAAATGCATATGCTCTAATGTATGTAAAAAAAAATTATAATTTTTACTTTTCTGCCACCAGATTTGTGTATTTCTGTTGTCACTCAAGGTTAATAAGCACAAGGAATTTTTCTTATTTATTTAAACTAAAATTTCCCTATTCTTTTCTTGGATATTTCTGGTACTTTCTATAAGCATAGCACCATCTTCAAAAATACTTCAAAGATTGTGATCAGAAGAAATGTCATGCTCTTTTCCCTTTATCTTTCAGAGACCCTTCGGAAGCTCCAATCACTTTTGATGCAGATTCTTTTTTGAATTATTTTGATAAGATTTTAGGTGAGTTACAGTGTGGTGCTTACCTTTACTTTGAAACTGTGAAGGGCTATCACTGTTTCTGGAGGTCTGGGATATAAGGTCATTTATGAGCCGAGATACTACTTTCTCCTGATGGTTTCAAGTTGTTTTAAACCATAAAGTACTGCCCTGTTGAAGCACTTGACAGAGGCAGCCTAATTAGTGCTTGACTTGCTAGCTGCTCACTGACTGAGAGCATACGCTTTTTCTGTTTTGGAAGGGTTTTAGTGTGACTTCCATATTATGTCTTTGTTTTGTCTTTCATACTTAATGTTCAGTAAGAAAAACAAACAGCACAGAGGGCTGAGGAGGTGGCTCAGGTAGTGATGTGCTTGCTGCATGGGAGTATGAGGGCCTGAGTGCAGAGTGCTGACATGCTTGTAAAAAGCCAAGCACCGATGAATAGGCCCCTAGTTCCAGGACTGAAGGCACAGATATAGCTAGGCTGATCCCTGGAGCTTGCTGGTGAGAGGCTCTGAGTCAGAATACAAGGAGAAGACTGACAGGAGACACCTGATATCAGCTTTGTCCTCTCCATGCATGTGTGTGCACATGCAGAAACACTGGCACACATGTGTGCATACACATGTATACACACACAAAACAAAAACGCAGGGAATAGACTGCACACTGGAGGGTAACAGTAAATGTTTGAAAGTTGTCAACTCTTCCTAGAAAGCAAACAAAATAAAAGCATGATTTTTTTTCTTACCTTATTGAAAAAACCAACAATCAGTTATTTATAAGGGCTGGAGAAACGAATATCATCAAACTCTGCAAGAAGTATAAGATGTCTTTTTACTGGACAGTTTGAGACCCTAGGAAGCCCCTCATTTTTCACTTAGCAATTTCACTTCAGGGATTCTCTCTGTGAAAGAAGTGGTCACTGATGGTCACTGCAGTGCTTTTTTATAGTACCAAAATTCTAATGACCACCAAGAGAGAACTGGGTAAATAAATCACTGAATTATGAATTTGCACAGCTGTAATAAAGTATGAAGTCACCTGTGTATTCTGCAGGAAGAAGGCCTACAAGGCATAGTATGTAGAAAAGCAGACCATAGTTCAATATGAGTACATCTAAGTTAAGAAAAAAAAACCATGGGCATGGCCTCGCACTGAAGACCGGAAGGGTGGACCTGCAGGATTGCTTCCTGGGGATGTCATGGCTGAAAACACAGACAGAAACCAGATTGAGAAGCTCCTCAATAGAGTAAAGGAACTGGAACAGGAGGTGGAAGACTTAAGAAAGAACAGGCCAACAATATCAAAGACTCAAGCCTCAGAGAAAATTCTTTAGGCTCTGGAAAAGCTAAGCGTGCTTTTGATTTCAGTGCTCATGGCCATAGACATGTAGCTCTAAAAATAGCCTATCTAGGCTGGGGATACCAGGGATTTGCCAGTCAGGAAAACACAAGCAATACCATTGAAGAGAAACTGTTTGAGGCTTTAACTAAGACCTGACTAGTAGAAAGCAGACAGACATCCAACTATCACCGGTGTGGTCGAACAGACAAAGGAGTCAGTGCCTTTGGACAGGTGATTTCTCTGGACCTACGTTCTCAGTTTCCAAGGAACAGGGATTCAGAAGATTCTAGTTTAAAAGATGAAGCTGATGATGTTGCTAAAGAGATCTGTTATACTCACATTCTCAACCGGGTGCTCCCTGCAGACATCCGAGTATTGGCCTGGGCCCCTGTAGAACCTAGCTTCAGTGCTAGGTTTTGCTGTCTTGAGCGGACTTACCGCTGTTTTTTCCCTCGTGCTGATTTAGATATTGCAACCATGAATTATGCAGCTCAGAAATATGTTGGCACTCATGATTTCAGAAACTTGTGTAAAATGGATGTAGCCAATGGAGTGATTAATTTTCAGAGGACTATTCTGTCTGCACAAGTACAACTAGTGGCCCAGAGCCCAGGTGAGGAGAGAAGGCAAGAACCATTCCAGTTATGTCAATTTGAAGTGACTGGCCAGGCATTCTTGTATCAAGTTCGGTGTATGATGGCTATCCTCTTCCTGATTGGCCAAGGAATGGAGAAGCCTGAGATTATTGATGAATTGCTGAACATACAGAAAAATCCCCAGAAGCCTTAATATAGCATGGCTGTTGAATTTCCTCTAGTCTTGTATGACTGTAAATTTGAAAATGCCAAGTGGATTTATGATCACAAAGTTCAGGAATTCAATGTTACCCACCTACAACAGCTATGGGCTAATCATGCTGTTAAAACTCATATGCTAGGCTGGGCAGTGGTGGCACACGCCTTTAATCCCAGCACTTGGGAGGCAGAGGCAGGTGGGTTTCTGAGTTCGAGGCCAGCCTGGTCTACAGAGTGAGTTCCAGGACAGCCAGGGCTATACAGAGAAACCCTGTCTCGAAAAACCAAAAAAAAAAAAAAACCAACTCATATGCTATACAGTATGCTACAAGGACTAGACTCTGTTATAGTAACATGTGCAGCAGGAACAAAGATGGAGGAAGCAACAGAATGGAGAAACATTCAACCCTCTGTCATAAAGCACACTAGTGCCTTTGTAGAAGGAGTGAAAACGCATGCATATAAGCCCCTCATGGATCGCCCTAAATTCCAAGGACTGGAATCCCGGATCCAGCATTTTGTACGCAGAGGACGAATTGAAAACCCACATTTACTCCATAAGGAAGAAAAGAAAGCCAAGAGGGACTGTGCTGACAAAGAAGAAAATACTGTTTTAGAGAATCCATCAAAGAGGGTTTGTATAATAGATGCAGAAATTAACACCATTGTATAATCCCAGGAACCTGGCATCTCTACCAGGATCCAGGGAGCAACAACCAGTTAAAATTCTAATGACTGGCAAAAGGCCTAACAAGTTCTTAAACAGTAAAAGGTATATTCTCTAATCTCTGTCCAAAAGAATTATGAAATGAAAGAAGCAAAAAGCACTTGTCAGTTATATGCACCTGGAAATTTATGCCTTGTGTTCAAATCCATTAAAGCCTGGTCTACCAATAAAAAAAAGAAAGAAAGAAAGAAAGAAAGAAAGAAAGAAAGAAAGAAAGAAAGAAAGAAAGAAAGAAAGAAAACCATGGGCTGGCTTACAGGTCTGTCAAGGGACTGGAGTTTGGTTCTGAGACGTCAAGTCAGGCCGTGCACAACCTCCTATAAATCTAGCTCTAGGGAATCTGGTGCTCTCTTCTGGCCCATGTAGGTTCCTGCACACATGAGCATATGCATGTACATATACAAATGAAAATAAATCTTATTTGCATATGCCTATACACGGAGCTGTAGCTGTTCCATCTGACATCTGGACATCAACCTAGTGTCTCTGGCTGGTTAAATGTTGATATCAACATATGTTTATGTAATTTACTAATTTTTTAATGTGTATTTGTATTTTTTTAAAGAGTTGTTTTATGTATAAGTATCTTGTCTGTGTCTATTTATGTACACAATTTGTGTGCCTGGTCCCCAAGATGGCTAAGAATGGGTGCTGGATACCCTAGAATTGGAGTTCTAGACAGTTGTGGATCACCATGTGGGTGCTAAGAACCAAATGCAAGTTCTCTGCAAGACAACAAGTACTATTAACCTCGGAGCCATCTCTCCAGCTCCCAGATTTTTATTTGTATTTTTTATGTTTTGGGGAGCAAGCCCAGGGCCTCATACCTGCTACTCAAGTTCTCACCTCTGAGCTATACTCCCAGCCTAGTGTTTAAATTAAAATTTTATTATTATTATTGTTGTTGTTGTTGCTATTATTATTATTATCAGTGTGTGTATGTATTATGTGTGGGGGAGTGTTTGTGAAACAACATGGTTATAAAGAGCAGAGGACAACTTTGTGGAGTATTTTCTCCTTACACCTTTGGGTCACCAGGTCACACTGCAAGCGCCTGTCCTTGGGAACTGTCTCAATGGCCCTGAAGAAAAAAGCGCTTTTTTTTTTTTTTTTTTGGTTTTTCGAGACAGGGTTTCTCTGTGTAGCCTTGGCTGTCCTGGAACTCACTCTGTAGACCAGACTGGCCTCGAACTCAGAAATCCACCTGCCTCTGCCTACCAAGTGCTGGGATTAAAGGCGTGCAGCACCACTGCCTGGCAAGAAAAAAGCTTTTAAGTAATCAAATTCTCATCGAAAAACTAAGGTTGAGTCTCTTGGCTCAGCCTGTTCTCCATTCTATAAATGTCCCTGAGTCACCGTTCTGGAAAAGATTTTTTTCTTCTTCTTGAGACAGGGTTTCTCTTTGTAGCCCTGGCTGTCCTGGAACTCAGAGATCCACCTGCTTCTGTCTCCCAAGTGCTGGGATCAAAGGCATGTGTCACCACTGTCCAGCTTGGGAAAGGATTTACAAAGTATTTGGATTAAGTCATTTGGTCCTAGTGGAACATTCCAATCTTTTTGAGAAGTATAACCCTGCTCAAAAAATTTCACCAAGTGGTTCTTTTTTTTTTTTTTTTTTTTTTTTTTTTGGTTTTTCGAGACAGGGTTTCTCTGTATAGCCCGGGCTGTCCTGGAACTCACTCTGTAGACCAGGCTGGCCTCGAACTCAGAAATCCGCCTGCCTCTGCCTCCCGAGTGCTGGGATTAAAGGCATGCGCCACCACCGCCCGGCACCAAGTGGTTCTTTCTGTGTGTCCATCAATATAGGGACAGAGCCTCAGGAGCCAGACTCTGATGACCTGGATGAAGATGACTTCGGATGTTTAGACAGCGATGATGACTTGGGCTTTGAAGCTCAGGAGTCTGAATCTCTGAAAGGAGCTCTTGGCAGCCTCAAGTCCTACATGGCCCAGATGGACCAGGAACTGGCGCATACCAGCATGGGCAAAAGCTTCAGTACCCGGAAGCAATTGGTAAGTGGTTTTAACCTCTCCTTCTCTAAGTATGTGTAGGACAGTAAGTCATATTTCATCTGAGTTTTCCTTTCTTTTTGATTTGTGAGATTTGAAATAAATGAGTGCTAATTTTATTAACTGACTGATTAATGCTAAGAATTGGTCCCAGGACCTGGAGTACATGCTAAACATGTAGTTCATCACTAAGCTATACTCCTGCTTAAGAGAAACGGCTGGTTTTCGCTTAACATTGATGTAATGGAAGATTATAGAGGCCAGGTGCAATGGCACGTGTCTGTGATTCACAGCTGCTGACGAGGCTGAGAAGGGAGGATCGATTGAGCCCAAGAGTGCGAGGCCTGTGGAGCCACATACTGAGTCTATGAAAGAAGGGCAGGTGCCGAGAGCGTAGCTCAGTGGTGCAGCAGGTGTCTGACATGCACAAAGCCTTCGGTTGAGTCCTCACCACTGAAAGGAAAAAGCAGATTATAATCTTGGTTTTCTAAATACAAATGTAATGACTGCTTCTTCCTCTCCCTTCCCCTTCTCTGTCCTGCCCTTTCCTTCACTATAGTGAGTTGCTCAAAGTGGTTTTAAACTCTTGGGCTCAAGTGATCCTCCTAGCTCAGCCTCCTGAGACTGTGGGACTACAGACATGGGCCTGGTTATAATTATGTTCTTAGAAGGGAGAGGAGACTGGAGAGATGGCTCAGCCATTTAGAGCACTTGCTGCTCCTGCAGAGGACCTGGATTCAGCAGGGTAGCTTACAATTCCAGTTCCGGGGACCTGACACTCTTTTCCTATCTCTGAAGGCACCAGGCACACCCTTGGTGCACATAGATCCATGCAAGCAAGACATTCACACACATAAAATAAATACATCTTACCAAAAAAAAAAAAAAAGCCAGAATATTTCATTTTTTTAGAAGTATATATGTGGATGTTTTGTGTGCATGTATGTCTGTGCACCATATGTATGCTTGGTGCCCAGGGAGGCCAGAAGAGAGGGCATTGGATTTTCTAGGACTGAAGTTACATATGGAACTGGAATTACATCAGTTGTAAGCTGCCAAGTGGGTGCTGGGAATCAATCCTGGGCCCTCTAGATGATCAAACAGTGCTCCCAACCACTGCGCCTTCTCCAATTTCTTAAGATGTATTGTGTGTCTCTGTGTATAGTGTATATGCACATGTGTTTGAAAGTGCATATCACTGTGCATGTGCTGAAGTGAGAAAAGCCATTGACTCCCTTAGAGCAGAGTAGCAGGTGTTTGCAGGACACCTGGCTTGTTTCTTGGGTGCTGCAGCTGGAACTCTGCTCTTCATGGTGGCACACAGACGCTCTTAGTGTTGAGCCATCCTCCAGCCCCTATATTATATTCTCTATGTGGATTCAAGAGTCATTATGTACTAAAGTTAGCATGCGATTATTACCACTCCTGCCGCTACAGATGAATCTTCATTTGATTGTCTGTAGAGTGTGTGTGTGTGCGTGCATGCGTGTGTGTGTGTGTGTGTGGTGTATGCGGTTGTGTGTATGTCTTAAGAGGGGCTGGAGTAATATCTCAGTAGATAAGGGGTTTTGTTTTGAGGCCTGACAACCTGGGTTCAATCCCTGGAATCTACATGGCAGAAGGAGAGGACCAACTCCCCCAAATTGATCTCTGACTTCTGAATACTCCTGTACATAGCAACTACACACACACACTCACACACACACACATGGGGGCCGGGGGAATAAATAAACTTTTAAAATATTTTAAAGAGGCCAAGCATAGTGGTGCACACCTTTAATCCCAGTACTCAGAAGACGGAGGCAGGCAGATCTCTGTGAGTTTGAGGCCATCTTGGTCTATAGAGCAAGTTTCTAGGACAGCATGGAGAGACCCTATCTTCAACAAACCAAAAAATAAAGAAAAAAAAAAAAGAATTAAAGACAGCTAAGAGGGACTTAAATATCCAAATAACTTCAACTTTAATTGTTTCATGTCCCCCCGTTAAGAGCCAAATTTAGAACTACCATTTACATATTTACCTCAGTGTTTCTGCCAAAACTGTGCACCAGCAAGAGGCATTATGGGAATAGCACACACATTGGAGTGTCATGGATCAGAGTTTGAAATAGAGCTCAGCCGTCTACTGTGCATTATCCAACTAACCAGCAGTCCTCATGTCACAGAATTAGTGTGAAATGACAGTCCATGAGCTCATGGTTAATATAAACTCTCTTTGCTTAATCACCAAAACCACATTTAAAACTATAATTGCTTTCAACCTAATAAAAATTAGGCTTAATTGTGAATAAATATTGCCTAAGGATCTTGATACAATATAGGCTTTTATTAAGCAACATGGACAAAAAGCTGAAATTTTCTGTTTTGGGAAGTCTTGAGAGAGGCAGACTGTTGGTCCGTGAACCACAGTTTGAATGACAAAGATAGAAAGTCTCTAGGTCAGGTTGCAGGTCTTCAGATCTTTCCCAGCCTGCGAAGTTAGAGGCCCAAGTAACAGGCTGGTGATTGATTGGCAGCTAGACGCCACTTTCAACACTGAGGTCAGGGAACAAAAAGGGAATCCAGTTTTTTTCATTTGGAAGATTCAGATTTTTGTCTTTTATTAATTATTAATATTAATGCAGGCTATGAATGTACCTCTTTAAGGATAGTTGTCTCTTGGGGATTATTTCAAAGTAGAAACAGATATATTTGATTTGTAGAAATTCTTTTGCAACAGAAATGTGTCACAATCTTTCGAGCTAAGTTTCTTTTTTGTTTTAAGACAGGATCTTGTTTCACATTGACCTGGAGCTCCTTGTGCAGATGAGGGTGACTGGCCTCTGGCTTCCACCTCCCAGTACTGGGATTACAGGCTGTGTCACCACGCCTGATGGAGCCAGGTGTTCATACATTTATTAAATTACATTGTTAGAGCTCATTTGACTTTGTGTCACCAAGGATTGGAAATTTCATTTTTAATTTGGAATTCAAATATATATTATTACTAAGTTAATGCATTTTACTATAACCAACATGTAACCTAAAAGGGTTATCACTTTCTCATGTTGTTCTCTCTCCTTCCTTCTCTTTCTCTAGAATAAGGATCCTCCATCCCAGACTGCAAATGACAATTCAGATGAGGAAGATTCTGGTGCAGGAGATTGCACTGTTGAAGCAGTGGATGTAGACCTGAACCTGGTTTCAAATATACTGGAATCCTACAGCTCCCAAGCTGGCCTGGCAGGACCTGCTTCCAATCTGTTACACAGCATGGGTGTGCGACTGCCTGACAACGCTGATCACAACCCCCAAGTCAGCCAGTGAAGGATTAGCCTGCACACCAGCTGCTCTTCTCACTGAATAAACAAGAGCCCAAGTGTGTTCATTCTAATCGACTCTTCATAAGAGCGTCTTCCCTGCAGGCTTCAGGGTCCCAGTGCCATCCTCTCCCAGGTCCTGTGACCTGCAGCTTGTTTGGTTTGCTTTAAATTTTCCCAAGACATGGTCTCCCTTGTAGTTTAGTAAAACGCTGTGCTGTTGGCGTAATTCTGAATATTCCGTTTCTCTCAGGTATGTTCCTCCACGGGTCAGAATTCTAAGTTGGCAAAATCCCATTTCATTCACTTTTTAATGAGATAAAAAGTCCTAAAACTTAACGTGTTCAGTCTGTGGCATTCTCCACATGTGCTCCTAATTCAGGGTAAAGAACTTATTATTCTTTAATTAACCAATTAAAGACATTAGCATACCGACTGGGTCTGACTGAGGCATCTCACACCTGAGTACCTCGCTTGGCTTCTGTCCCCTCTCCACTCAGACCGCCCTGCCTCCTGTCTCATGTATATACATTGAAGTCATAGTTCTGTGGGCAGGAAGATGTGGCATTTCTTTGTTTGTCTTCATTGCCCTCTCTTGGTTCACATTTACTTTTTTTTTTTTTTTTTTTTTTTTTGGTTTATTGAGAGTCTCTTGTGGCCAGGGTGGCCTCACATTTTCTGTTGTTGGGACACATTGAAGCAAGCTGATTTATTTCATTTGAAATTTATACTTTTGCTTCCTGTTCATGTTCATCGTATTGATAAGTCCTTGATACTTCCGTTTTTACCCCCTAAGTCCTAGAATTACAGGTGTGGGCAGTCACACTTTATTCTTGCTGTATATATTTACTGTGTATTGTCCTGTGAAAGCCACATGCTGGGGGCTAGAGAAATGGCTCAGTGGTTTAGAATGCTTTCTGTTCTTACAGAAGACAGAGTTCCATTCCCAGCACCCACAAGGTGGCTCACACCCACCTGGAAAAGGTTCTGATGCCCTATTCTGGCCTCTGTTGGTACTACATGCATGTAGTGTACATACAACAAAACACATACACATAAAATATAAATAAATTAATTACAAAGAAAAGCATCAGGCTTGGTGGAGAACCTTGTCAATAAAATGCTTGCCACACCTTTCAGTTCCCCAGAATCCACCTAAAGGGGCTGGAGAGATGACTTAGCGGTTAAGAGCACTGGCTGTTCTTCCAGAGGCCCTAGGTTCAATCTTCAGTGACCACAGTGGCAGCTCACAACTATTTGTAGCTCTAATTTGGAGGGATCTGGCACCTTCATAGACATAACATGCAGGCAAAACACCAGTGCACATTAAAAAAAAAAAAAAAAAAACCAATCCACCTGAAAAAGCCAGGCATGGTGGCAAATGCTTGTAATCCTAACACTGGGTATCTCCATAGCTTGCTGGCATGCTAGCCTAGCCGAACCAGCAAGCTCTAGACCAGTGAGATCCTTTCTCAGAAAACCATGTGAATGGCTCCTGAGAATGACATCTGGCCTCCACACAGGAAGGCTGGTTGGCCTGCATGCACACATACACACATACAGAAGCATAGATAAAATGTTTCTTTTTGCTAGGCAACATTTTAGCATTTTAATTAACTTAAAATGCTAAAAATAAATACAAACAACAAAAAAGTGAAGATATCCTTATGTTTTGTATTGAAATTTAGTTCCCACATTAGGATTCTGTCCTTGTTTGTTTGTGAGAAAAGGCCTTTTCCTCAATGTATTGATGTAAGTTAATTATATCTTCATTGAGGACTAAAAGTTGAGGAAAGGGGAAACAGATCAAACTATGGCATGAGTGGACTAGTTTTAAGATAGATTGATGCTGGGCAGTGGTGGCGCACTCCTTTAATCCCAGCACTTGGGAGGCAGAAGCAGGCGGATTTCTGAGTTCGAGGCCAGCCTGGTCTACAGAGTGAGCTCCAGGACAGCCAGGGCTACATAGAGAAACCCTGTCTTGAAAAACCAAAAAAAAAAAAAAAAAAAAAAAAAAAAAAATTGATTTAGATAGGGTTACTCTGTGTAGCCCTGGCTATTCTCAAACTAGCTCTGTATACCAGGCTGGCCTTGAACTCACAGAGATCCACTTGCTTCTGCCTCCCAAGTGCTGGGATTAAAGGTATATCACCACCACCACCCTGCTAGGGAGTGGGCCACTTTTCTATTCCCATTACCAAAGATGACTGATCTTGAACCAGACTCGGCCTGGTGACGAGTACATTTGTGAGCAGGTTTTGCCTGGTTTTGCTAATCTGCATCATGGCCCCAGCAGTTAGCCACTCTATCCCGAGCATTTCTATCATCTGTTGTTGTGTGCGTGTGCATGTTCATGTGTGCATGTACGTGTGGGTGGACATGCACCCCATGCCAACTTCCCTGCCATTTGCAGTATCCTAGCGTATCTCCAGATAACCTTGGTCTGTAGCCAGGCTCCTCTGCCCAGCTTGTACTGGGAAAATGAAGTTCAGCCTTGCATTTGCTCCTATTAGCTTCCCCCATCTTTTAAATGTTTTTTGAAAAAACAGGTTTATCAAAAAGCAACCAACCAGGAGCCCGAGCACTCCTCTCTCTACCAGCAATTTCAGACTGGGATGCATGGGCTCACAATAGCATGGATAGATGGCAGTGCACACAGACCCTCAACTGTTTTCTGAGTGCAGGATGTGAAGAAATCTCAAGTCCCCTTTCCCAAGTGCTTTTCTCTACCCGTGTTTCATCACAGTGAAGGAAGGCAAGCTGCCATCGGGGCAGGAACATACTATCATCCAAGAACTCCAGACAAACGCATTTAGGTTTTCTCAGGAGTGATCCTTCGGGGTCAAAAGGAAATGCAGTGCTTCGACTTTTTCACTTCCAGAAATTTCTGCCTTGTCCTGTGGGGCTCTAATATGTAAGCTGAGGGTGGTTGGGTTTTGTCGTTTAGCCATCAATCAGTGCCGTTATCTGAAATTAGGACTTGCCCCAGCCACTCTTCCCAACTGACCCTCTGACAGTTTCTTCTGCACATTTTCCCAGTGGTATCACAGCCTGGAAATCTAAACTTAAATATTTTACCATCACACACAAAAGTCTTTCCTCATCCCCACCCCATTCTCGTTTTCTAAAATTTGGGTCATAGAAAGAAAAAAAAAGTCTTAATAAAGGCATGGAATTTTATTTCCTCCAGAGAAACTTCTCCCTTACAATGTGGCAAGATACAGATGACACAGGGGTCTGGGATACAGGTCAGTGACAGGCTTGCCTAGATGCATGAGGTCCGAGTTCACTCTCTAGCACCATGGGAGGAGAAGGGGGTTCAGGGTCGTGTTTGTGGGAAGGACTCAGGCTTCAGGCTTGGTGCTTGCTTATCCTTATCCCTCATTGAAGCAGCACCCTCCAAAGCAGATTCTAGTACTGAGTCATGTTTAGTCATTTTCCCTGGTCTCAAACGGAGCAAGTGAAAGAGAAGGAAAGACAACATAGTCTTAAATTATCTCATGCTCTTCTGGGATTTAGCTACTTCAAAAAAAAAACCCCACCACCTCTTGCCTGCAGAATAGTCCAAGGAAGACCTTTGCTCCCACTCTCCCCTTCAGAGCTTAAAAACAAAAACAAAACCATAACTTTTGGGCAGGGGATGCGCCTTCGTGGTAGAGCATGTCTACCAAGCATGAAGCCCTAGGTTTGATCTGCAGCAACAACAACTACTAAAAAGTCAACCTTTATTTGACTGCCACATACGAGAAGACACCTATAGGTGCTCGAGAGATGGCTCAGTGGCTGCTCCTCCAGAGGATCCAGGCTTGATTCCCAGCACCCATCTGCCAGCTCACCACAGTCTAACTTCAGTTCCAGGGGATGATACCTTCTGGTCTCCACAGGAACTAGGCATGTATGTTGTGCAGAGACATATACGTAGGCAAACACTTATGCAAATAATAATAAAAATAAAATTTAAAAATACACCTACACACGTATTTGAAAGCATATAAAATGTTATTTTTTGTGAGGACAGAAGCAACTCAAATGTGAGTTGAGAATCATTAAAATTTTGGCAGTAAGATAAATCACCCTGGGCACAGTTGGCAGTTCCTATAAATACAACATCAACCAGCCCAGGCCAGAGGATGTTTGTTCCTACAGACTTGGAAAAAAAGGGCTACACCCAAACGAATCAGCACCCTTCCCTCGGCTTTTCACAATTAGCATCTCATCAATCAACTCTTCTTACCGTTTTTGTTTTGTTTTTAAGTGACAGTGTCTAATGTGTTGCCCCAGTTGTCCTGGGCAAAAGCGATGCTCTTGCCTCCGATTCCACAGTAGCTGGGACAAGTACAGGTACAAGCTGCTCTATCCAGCTTATGCCGGCATTTTGGGTGGAGCGTTAGAAGACACCTCTTTTGGCAGTAGAACTTCTCAGAGAGCCTCTGCCCTGGGAGACACCCTAGGTCACCTCCCTAGTTCATCTCCAGAGCGCACTGTAGTAATGCCCAGGAGGGATCCGAACAGCTCTGTGTGAGCTAAGCACCCAGGGAAGAACAGCTCTGCTTCTCCACCCACTTCTTAATCATGTGGTGGGCAATAGCTAACTTGGGAGGCAGCAACAGTGGGGACGCTTCACTCTGCTGCTGAGCAAAGGAGCCCTTTCTCCTCAGGGCTGTGGCCACCTCATCAAGACTGAACCAGGCAGCTGCCTCTAGTTCCTTCAAGTTCACCTGGATCTGAAAGACAAGGAAAGGGTTTAGGGTAGGGGTAAAGTTAGGAACTATAAAATGTAAAATACTATGGCCAAAGTGAGAAAATTCAGAGGACTATTCAGTCTTAGATGGTCTGGGACCAATGGATAAAATCAGTTCTAGATAATGTTCAGAAACTGAACAGAGAGTTAAATGTATTTTGAAATAGTTCTTTTAAAAAGATTTTTTTTTTTTTTTTTTGGTTTTGGTTTTGGTTTTTCGAGACAGGGTTTCTCTGTGTAGTCCTGGCTGTCCTGGAACTCACTCTGTAGACCAGGCTGGCCTTGAATTCAGAAATCCGACTGCCTCTGCCTCCCAAGTGCTGGGATTAAAGGCGTGCACCACCACCGCCCGGCAAAAAGATAAATTTTTTAAAATTCTATTTGTACAATAGTTATAACATTTTTTTAAAATCCTATTTGTCCAAGGCCAATAGCATTTGTTAAGCCCAGATCCAGTCCCCAGTGCACATACACATAAAATCCTAAAGCACAGATACTAAACTATTGAGTGGCAAGTCATGAGTAAGTGTGTCTGCATCAAGTATATAACCCTTTCAATTAAAAACAAGCTGCAGGGTCAGCGGGCTGGCTCAGTAGGTAAAGGCACTTGCTGCCAACCTGAGCTTGGTCCTGAGGACGCATCTGACCAATGGAGAGACCAGACTCCCACGGCTTGTCTCAGAGGTCCATA